ATCAAGAGGAGAGGTGGCTGGAGGCTTTGCTGGTAGGACTAGTGTCCTCCATTCTGGGCCTCTGTTTACTCTCTGGGGACAAGATAATACGTAAGGGTTAAGCTTTAGGAGAATAAGGGTAACTGGCTAGCTTCACCCATTGTCTCCTGTGTACCAGGCACTGCCTAGATGCATGAACTTCTGTCCAACTCCCTGCAGCCTCAGGAGTTTGATATGTTACCTTCCATTTTACAGAAGAAACCAGTACACGGAGGGGTTAAGTCCCTTTACTTAAGGTCATGCAGTTGGTAAGCAGCAAGACCAGGGTATGGGCCCAGTGTCTGCAGAGTCCTTGCCGTTAACCTCAGACCAAGCCTGTGCTTTTGCATGTGGCTGCTCCTAATTGAAGGGTGCCTTAAGCACACTGGGTTTTAAAGATGTATGAAATAAAGAATGTAAAATATCTCTATTATTTATATCGTTATATGCTAAAATGTACATGTATACAGTACATGATACTATGTTTGGGGACACCTGGATGGCTCAGTCGGTTTAGTGTCCATCTCTTGATTTTGGCTCAGGTCATGATCTCTGAGGGTCATGAGATTGAACACCACATCGGGCTCCATGGGAGGTCTCCTTCACATTCTCTCTCCTTCTTCCTCTGCCCCTCCCTTCACTTTCTCACACTCTCTCTCTAAAATAAAGAAATAAAATCTTTTTTAAAAATGATGCTGCATTTGGTGTATTGGGTTAAATAAAATACATTATTGCACTGTAAGTGGTTACCCACAACTGTGTAAAATAGGCAAATTGAGAAGTAATAGTGGTTTAAGAAGAAAACCTGGTTACGTTTTTAAGTTCTTCTCTCTTAGAAATATACACAAAAATATATATGGATAAAAATATGACAGTTGAGATTTTCTTCAGAGTAATCTAGGGAGTAGATGACTCTAAGTTGAGGACTCTCAATAGTGCCCACATGGGGATTTGTTAGTCATTTTCTGCTTTTGTGCATATTTGCAGTTTTCCATAATAAGGCTTTTAAAAATTGATAAAACAGAATAAAATTGCTTGATTATTTGGCATCTCTTAAAAACATGCCATCTGGTTTAAAGTACAGATAAGTCAAATTTCTAAGTAGGGAGTTACCTCAGGAACTAATGAATCTATTTTGTGAAGTCAGTTGATAACTTTTACCCTGCTTTGCTGTCTTTGTGTGATGGTCTGATGCTCTAATAACCACGCCCCTGCTCCCCTGACACCCTCCCTCACCTCCATACACATAGGTGGTCAGGTGTCCCTTTCCTGGTGTCCTGTTAAGATGTATACTGTCAAATTTGTGGTTCAAGCATAGAAATGACTAGAACTTCAAGATACATGTTTTCATATAAACCTTCCTGGCTTCCTTTTGTATCTCTGCCCTTATGTGTCTGTTTTTTTCCAACTAACTTTTTAAATGTTCTGCTTACCCTATTTCTACCCTTTCTCCCAACTTGCACTTGCAGCCACTTTTATAACTTTGTCACGTTTCCTTCCAGAACTTTTTTTATATAAGCACATAGAAAGATATATATTTCTCTCCTTTTAAAGGCAAATATAGTATACCATACAGGATGTATGCTTTTCTCACTGAATATGTCTCTCCAAGATGTTTATAGAACAGATTCTTCATTACAGGTGCATAATTGTTCATTGTGTCAATGTATTGAAATGTAGTTAGCCCCGCCCTTACTGGTAGACATTTGGTTTTTCCAACAGTTTGTATATTTTACTCTAAAATCCTGCGACTTGTCTATATCTTTCTCAGTAGGCTTAAATCCTGTTTTGGAATGGGGTTAGCTATAAATTTAAAAATCATTAGCTTTGCAAAGACTTTTGCTGAGTAATTGCATTTAATGGGAATTGTTCATGTTCCAGGTTGCTCTTCTGTTATTAGAAAAAGAAGTATTAGATAAGAATGATATGGTTGAACTTTTGGGCCCCAGACCGTTTGTGGAAAAATCTACCTATGAAGAATTTGTAGAAGGCACTGGCAGCTTGGATGAGGATACTTCACTTCCAGAGGGCCTGAAGGACTGGAACAAAGAACGGGAAAAGGACAAAGAGGAGCCCCAGGATGAAAAAGTGGCCAACCAGATTCAAGATGGGAGACCGTTTTAGTTCGTGGTTTTGTGGTCAACTCTGGCTTTCTCAGAGGAATAAGGCCACTGGGAAGTTGATCATAACCATCTGCTGACCGGGTTGAGATGGTGGGAAGAGGAGTCCTTAGTCCTTAGCCTCTGAAGTCACAGCCTGGGTGCAGGGTGACTTTCTGAAGGCCCAGGAGAATGTGTCCCCGAGCCCATCAGGCTCTCAGACAGTGGCTGGGAGCAAGGAGAGGGCACCCAGCACTGCTCCCTCCACTATCCGTGGTGCCAGCTGATGTGTGACGGGGATCGACCATGTGTGGAGGCTTGCCAGTGTGGGAGAGGTGTATTTTTCTCTTTCCATCACCCACGCTTCATTCCTGTTTCCCTTCAGAGTTTCCCTCTGTGGATGAGCTGTGAAATTAAATTGGAGTCCTGATAAGAATATTTTGACTTAATACTTTAAAGATTGAATCCAGATCACATGTTGCTGTTTTAATGGAATGGTTTTCTACGGAGAGCTATAACATATCTAAAAATATGAATGTATTATGTAAATATGGCTTCTTTACATCAAAAATAAAGTGTACTGTACTTTTTTCCTTCTGAATTCAACAAAGGGTCGCAGTTTTATGCTTGGGGTCTTTTCTTTTAGAAAGCATTATGGAAAGGAATTAAGTATTCTAACTGTGGAGAGAAGAATCCTTCAAAAGCCAGTCCTACTGGTTCTTACCAGCACCCGCAAAAGGCTTGGTAACTTCTAGAATTGTACATTCTGGAATGATGAACTCTGGATATAAAGAACGTTGATAGGAAGTCAGTACAAGAATCTGTGACAATGGCATCAGTTTACATCCACACTAGGCTGGTGGTGACAAGATGTGGTCCTAGCATCTGGGTCTGGAAGACCTTGTGGGACCACGGCAGGTCTGGCAGGCTGTCTCAATCCATCACATGGATCTCAGTTATTTCAGCTTGCCTTGTGTGTTGATACAGTTAAGTATGTTGTGGGAACAACACAGACTTCAGACATAGATTCAGGTGGCATCCCTGGAACAGACAGTACTGGACAGACCGGGAGGGAGGTGTTATGGGGAGACTGCTGTGGCCCAGGAGCACTCCTCCAGGTGGCCCAGAGGTGCTGAGCTCTAGCTCACTGGACTACAGAACCATCTGTGAGGACACCGGTAACTCAGTGTGACGGGCATGGGGCCCTCCTCAGTTTCTGCTGTAGTCTCCACTGCTCAGTGCAGTGACCTACAGCTGTAACAGATCTACTGCCTCCCTTCCTCACAGGATGCTGTGGGAGGTGGTTCAGGGAAGAATTGTGTGAAGGCTGTATGATTCACTTGGCCATCAGGGTGTTCAGTGTTCTGTTCTCCACACAGACAATGAAGAGACTACTTCCTTGTACCACTGCAAGGAGAGGTGCCAGCATGTGCGGAGCTCTGATGGGCCTTGGCTGTGAGGCCTGTGTAGTTGAATGAAGTGGATGGTGCCAAACATGGGTCAGGTTTGATGCAGTAAAAAAAGGGACCAAGCTGTACATGAGATGGTCAGATGGTAACTCACCTGCATTCCTAGTTCAAGCTTGTGGAGTCCTGGGAAGGCAATGGCCTGGAATAGCTACCACAGCCATCCGCGGGGTTCCTGGTCTGCACCCGGAAGCCCACAGCACTGTGGTGAACATTGTTCACGTTGGCTCTTGCACGGAGCCTGACTCACACTGGGTGCTCACAGCACTTGTCCTTTCTCTCTTCCAAGGTCAGTCAAACCTGGCATACTTCCAGGTTGGATGTCGATGGTAAGATACTTACTTTTACTGTAGTTGCACCAAGTGTAGTTCCCCATTGTTGGGGATCCACTCGAAGATTTCTGTGGAAATAGAGCCTGTGCTCACCGCAGTTCAAGTCACGCTGCCATGTTTAGTGATTCCCTCTCTGTCTGCCCAAGTTTGGGGTTCAGCACAGCATAGATAATTACTTGGTGTAAGCCATGGAATCACTGAGCTCAGGCCTTCTGTCAGGTGGGGGAGCTCGGTTACCCTGTGTGATGACCCCAGATGGAAATGGTTCCAAATGACAGTCATTTCTTTCTCAATCCTTGTCCAACAAAGGTCAGAGGGGGCTGTGCTCTGCAGTCACTGGGACCCAGATGGGGGAAGCCATCAGAGAGAGGCAGAGTTGAAGGTCAAGTACTAGCCTTTAGAGACTTGGCACCTGGAAGTGACATTCTTTTGGCCAAAGTCATGTTCACAGCTAACTTCAAAGGAGCAGAAGGGAGAAATAAACCAGCAACACTGGTGAACAGCCGTGTGTGCTAATTACTAGTAGGACTAACCTGGTCATGTCCTGTGGAGTTTGACTTTATAAGACCTCTTACGGAGGTTGTGGCAAGTTAATAGAATCTGACAAGTGATCTGTTTTATAGAAGACAGCCCTCAACCTCCGTGCTGAGCCTGAGCACACAGCTCCCAGAGCTGGCCCTGCCAGGTCCTCCCTTACCCATCAGGAGCTTGCACATCCCCCTTGCTTTGGCTGGAAGCCTGGAGCCTCTGGCAAAGGCTTTTTTTTTCTGTAGCTCCTCTGGCAAATCTTAGTGCAGCTGTTAGGGAAGGCTGGGACTAAGTAGCCCAGGATCAAAGATTCTGTGGGAGGTCTACGCGCTGGCTGTAAAATGGGGACAAGGGGCTTTTATCTGTGTGTGCGCTACTCTGATACTCAGGAGAATTCTGGTGCCACCCTGAAGGCCTGCAGTTCCAGGAAAGCCTTTCCTCTGAGTTCAATCACTGAGTGGCAGCGGCAGTTCACCCCAGGAAGACACAGGTACCCAAGGAACCATGGTAAGCACGCAAACAAATCTATCATGGAAACAGCTGGAAGAGGCAAAGGAGGAGTTTCAGTGTTTTATTATGAATAGGTTGTTTTAAAGTTCTAAGGCAACACTGCACAGCTTCAGATCCCATCACAAAGGATGAAAAAGACGGTTTCTAACCTCCTGGCTAATTCTCAGCAAGGCTGAACGCTTAACAGGGTGAGAGGTCAATCCATTTAGCCCTTCACTGGTGGCCCAATTGTCGTTGGGAGTCCTCCAGCAGGAAGTCTGTCACCTGAGGTTTTGATTGGGTAGGACAGGGCTGCCGATTTTCCGTGTACTTCCTTCCTTCCAGAGGAATTTCGTTGCGTTGGTGAGGGGCCTCTACCCAGGTATTTAGAGCTGAGCGCCTTGCAGGGGCCCTCGGGGTCACAGGCCCCGGAGTTAAGCCTCTGGGTCGCGGTCTGTGAGGCTCGGCCGCTCCTCTACTCGTTGATCTCCTCTTCATCGTCTTCAAAGGCTTCTTCTCCGTCGTTGGCCGTGGCGTCCTGGTACTGCTGGTACTCGGACACCAGGTCGTTCATGTTGCTCTCGGCCTCGGTGAACTCCATCTCGTCCATGCCCTCGCCCGTGAACCAGTGCAGGAAGGCCTTGCGCCGGAACATGGCGGAGAACTGCTCCGAGATGCGCTTGAACAGCTCCTGGATGGCCGTGCTGTTGCCGATGAAGGTGGCGGCCATCTTGAGGCCGCGCGGCGGGATGTCGCACACGGCTACCTTCACGTTGTTGGGGATCCACTCGACGAAGTAGCTGCTGTTCTTGTTCTGGATGGCCAGCATCTGCTCGTCCACCTCCTTCATGGACATGGGGCCGCGGAAGACGGCGGCCACCGTGAGGTAGCGGCCGTGGCGCGGGTCGCACGCGGCCATCATGTTCTTGGCGTCGAACATCTGCTGCGTGAGCTCGGGCACGGTGAGCGCGCGGTACTGCTGGCTGCCGCGGGCCGTGAGCGGCGCGAAGCCCGGCATGAAGAAGTGCAGGCGCGGGAAGGGCACCATGTTGACGGCCAGCTTGCGCAGGTCGGCGTTGAGCTGGCCCGGGAAGCGCAGCGACGTGGTGACGCCGCTCATGGTGGCCGACACCAGGTGGTTGAGGTCGCCGTAGGTGGGCGTGGTCAGCTTCAGGGTGCGGAAGCAGATGTCGTACAGGGCCTCGTTGTCGATGCAGTAGGTCTCGTCCGTGTTCTCCACCAGCTGGTGCACCGACAGCGTGGCGTTGTAGGGCTCCACCACCGTGTCCGACACCTTGGGCGACGGCATCACGCTGAAGGTGTTCATGATGCGGTCGGGGTACTCCTCGCGGATCTTGCTGATGAGCAGCGTGCCCATGCCCGAGCCCGTGCCGCCGCCCAGCGAGTGCGTCAGCTGGAAGCCCTGCAGGCAGTCGCAGTGCTCACACTCCTTCCGCACCACGTCCAGCACCGCGTCCACCAGCTCGGCGCCCTCCGTGTAGTGGCCCTTGGCCCAGTTGTTGCCTGCGCCCGTTTGCCCTGCGACAAAGCACACGACAGTGAGGGCCTCCCCAGAAGGTCGGCCCCGGGGACGGAGCTCGCCGCTCTTCCTGCTTCCGTTTATTTATCTGACACGGAAGAGAGACCACGAGCAGGGGGAGACGCAGGCTCCCCGCGCAGCAAGGAGCCCGCTGAGGAGCTCGGTCCCAGGACCCTGGGGGATCCGGGCCTGAGCTAAGGCGGGCGCTTAGCCGGCTCAGCCACCCAGGCCCCTCTGTTACTTCTACTTTTACGATGGTGATGCAAAAACACATCTTTCAGCCCCAAACTCAATTCCATGGAAAGCAGCACCGGAAACAACCTGAGTTGGCTCATTCTTCTCTTCTGTGTCTGGGCGAAATCAAAAGGTTTTGCCACCAGGACGTCCCAAATGTTGCCTTTTACCTAAGGCGCTTTTCTTAATCCAATATACTTGGAAAGAGTTGGGGAATGGAAATATTAATTCCAATACGACTTTGCCAACATGATTTTTTAATTAAATGTTTTAAATATATTTTTACCGGAAAGAATTTTTAGGATGAAGCTCAGCTTATCCGAGTTATGAAAAATACAAGCCATATACTCTAGTTGGCAAAGGCAGTCCTAGTTATCAGGGAAGTCCTCTGAACTGAACTTACATTCCGTCAGAAAAACATGAGTTTTTCAATCCAAATCAATAGGTTAATACAAGGATTTCAAGGATTATTAAAAAAAAAAAACACTGAGAACTAAATTCTAGAGCACAGTGTAGGGTAAATTATGAAAAGCAGTCAGCTCAATGCTCAGTGCTGACCTCCTCAAGCTTATGATGAACCTTCGTCTTCCCCCACCTCTATGCCTAGGCTTTGCCCCTCTGATGGCGAGAGGTAATATTTCTATTTAATAATAAACTATAAAGACAAGGCACTGCTGTTTCTCATTTTTTAAACTGGTATCAAGGCAATGCACTATATAGCCAAAATTATAAGTTATTTAAGAAGCAAGGAAGATGATTAAAAGGCATTGTGTTTATTTAGTAAATAGGGTATATCAAATCTAGTTTATAAAAGAATGTATAGGGGCCCCTGGGAGGCTCAGTGGGTTAAGCATCTGTCTTCAGCTCAGGTCATGATCCCAGGATCAATGGATCCAGCCCCACATTGGGCTCCTTCCTCGGTGGGGAGCCTGTTTCGCCCTCTGCCTCTGCCTCTGCCTGCCACTCCTCCTGCTTATGCTTGCACTCTCTTCTTCTGTCAAATAAAACCTTTTTTAAAAATTCCTTTAAATTTTTTTTAAAATAAAAAGAATGTACAAATAATTTAAAAATAAATTTGTTAGCATCCCTATCACACTTTCCCTATGTATTGAATCAAAAGAACCAGGATGCACCACAGGAGCCGGCAGGTGATCTGACTGTGTCAAGTGGACATAAAAAATGAAAGGAAGCAGAGATGCCAGGCCGGTTTGTCCTTCTGCTCAGAGCTAGGACAGTGCTGCAATCATACTGTATGGACCTCTCTCCACTTATTCCAAAGATGTTCACTCGATTTTTGTCTATACCCAGCTGGTGGCAACAACCCACAATCACCATCCAGAACCCAGCTTCTCTGCTCTAGGCAGGCAGGTCCATACCTGCCACCGGGCACACCAGTGGGAAGCTGAGCCAGAGAGCAGTGACCCCATCAGGCTGCCTTCCGGGAGTGGCCCAGTGCTACATCAGGGAAGACAAGCGGATGGGGGCCCTCTGAGGTCTGGTGCTGGGCCCCCACATTTTGCCATGGACTGTGGGTGTGGCCTTACAGGGGCCTACTTTGGAGGAATGGGTCTTATCTCAAAGTCGCTTGAGTCTTCCACAGCATTTATCCGTGCTAAACACTGTGGGTGTTAGGTGGAAGTCTGTAAAACAGGAAAAATAACCAAAATCCTGTGATTCCTCAGTAAGTTTAAAATATATTGACTCCTAGCAACTTGTATCACATACAAAGGGATAACCTCCTTAAATATCTAACGAAGTCCTACAAATCAGTAAGGAAAACAGTAACTTTTAGGAGAATGAGCAAAGGATATAAACACTCCACAGGGAAGGAAATTCAAATAACTTCAATATTTGATGCATTCCTTACAAGAGAAATGCACATCAAAACAAGGAGATTCAATTTCTCCCCTGTGAAACCAACAGAGCTCCAAAAGCTGGCGAACACCACTGGCTGGGGCTGGGGAGGCCCCTCCATCCATGGGGCTGCGGGGGTGCATGGACTAGACGCTGTGGAGAACAACTTGGCAGATCAAAATCAGTTCCCTTAGGCTCAGCAATCTTACTTGTACAAATTTGCTGAGACAGGTCTATGTGCACGTGTGGAAAGTGACATGTATCCTTTGAGACGATACGTGCTGAGACTGAGGAGAAGTTTGTAATAATAGTGAAGAAAAAAGGAAACAGTCTAAATGTCTTTTAACAGAGGACTGGTTAAATCAATGCTTGTTTCTATCAAAGGAACAAGCGCAGCCATCAGCCCTAGTACTGGGATGGCAAGATTTTCAAAGTATATTGCTAAGGGAGGGACCCCAAAATACTAAATGGTGTATGTTGTTGGCTGTGATCGTATGTGTGTCACAGAATAAGCACGGGAATCCCACAATGCCACCTCTGGGAGGGAGTCTTGGCGGCCACCAACTTGGAGTTGGGATGAGACCAACTTTTCACTGTAGACCCTTTTGCTCCGTTTGGGTCCTGGGCCAAGTACATGTTTTACTAGCTAGCAAACTGAATATTTTAAACTTTATTAAAAGATTTAAAATGCATTTAAGAGGGACCCCTGGGTGGCTCACTGGTTGAGCGTTTGCCTTTGGCTCAGGGCATGATCCCGGAGTCCCAGGATCGAGTCCCACATCAGGCTCCCTCTGTGGAGCCTGCTTCTCCCTCTGCCTGTGTCTCTGCCCCTCTCTCTGTGTCTCTCATGAATAAATAAATAAAATCTTAAAAAAAAAAACACATTTAAGAAATAAACTGGAGAAATACACAGTAAACTAATAATCGTGGTTGGCTCTGAAGGACGGGATAAGAGGATAGTTAAGTTACAGCATTACATATTGCTTATGAAATTTTAACTCAACATGTCTCTTGATAATCAAGAGAAAATTAAAATATGAAAACATGCCTTTAAGGGAAGTTTTAAAAATCTCAGTAAATGGAGGCATTACTACATGAGGACACTCACTCAGCAGCAAGGCACTGACTGTCACAGGGGGTGTCCCAGTTATGTTGATGAACTTTTCAAGAAGCTGCAAAATGGTACATGTAGCATGATCCCATTTTCTGAAAAACCAAGTCAACTGCTAGTTGGGGGGGGGAGTGGGGGGACATACGCACAAGTGCATGTGTCCATAGGAAAAGGTCAGGCACCATGTATAGCACCAGGTATCCCCAGGGAATCAAATCTCACTGTCATCTGTATAAGGGGTGAGGAGGTTCCATTTTGATACTACAGATTTGTGTATTTGAAGAAAACATGTGCAAACAGTTTTAACTTCATGATGAAAACATTAAACACATTTAAATATTAAATATTAAAGAGTGACATGTCCAGGAGGGCACACTGCTCATGGGAATAAGACACAGCTGGCCCCTTGCTCCTTGGTCTTAGCCTTACGTCACAAGGGAGCTCAGCCTCTCACTCTGGTTGTCCTTGCCCCACCTGCTCAGAGGCACCTAGTGGATGGGCCTGGCGGCCCCGGGGCTGCTTGAGGGCCCAGGCTGGGCAGGAAGCAAGCCCCTCCGTGCTTGCAGCCACCCCGAGGGCACTGGCCCCTTAGCCTTCTCTGAGGCCATCTCCTGGTCTAGGAGGTGACCGTGCCCCTGACCAACAGAGGGTCTCTTTGGTCCCGCCCTGAGGACTCACAGATGGCCACTGTCCCTCCTATCCCTCGCTGGCTCCTGTCCACACCTCCCCACCAATCCAGCAGGCTGCGGCCCGGCCAGGTGCACCAGGAGGACAAGGTGCGGGGCTAGCCCACTCATGGAGCTGGGGCAGGACGAGCACACCTTCCCAGAGGAAGGTAGGCGAGGGCAATTGTCAGAAAGGCTAAGGAGGCAGCCTGGGTGGCTCAGCGGTTTAGCGCCGCCTTCGGCCCAGGGCGTGATCCTGGAGACCCGGGATTGAGTCCCACGTCAGGCTCCCCACATGGAGCCTGCTTCTCCCTCTGCCTGTGTCTCTACCTCTGTGTTTCCCATGAATAAGTAAATTTTTTTTTTTTAAAAAAGAAAGAGGTAAAGAGATGATTTCATTAAAACGGAGTAGGAAACAGCAAGTGACAAGTAGGGAGCTTCAGGCGGGCCTGCAGCCACAGCAAGGGAAGCTCGAGGAACTAGAGTCTTCCTTCAGCTCACACGGCTGCCTCAGCTTCCTTAGTATTTACAGCATGAGTAGCCGTGAGATGTCCTCTGCTCTCGACAAAAGGAAGAAGCTAGTGACTTCTGAAAATATTTTGCCACTGTCTCATAGCAACAGATGTTCCCAGTTAAATATTTGGGGGTCATAAGTTGAACATGTTCTGTAATGAGCTGTTGTGACAGTAATCGCGGCTCGGGCCCGAAGAACACAAGGCTGCAACCTCAAGCTTCGGCAGGCGGGTTGCAACAGGTCCCCAGGGCTTTCTCAGAGGCCACCCTCTGGCTTACCTCTTGCTCACACTGGGTGACGATTAAGTACTCTCTGACCCCCTCTAGCCCCAAATCTGGAAGGGAAAGTTACATGTGCAGAAAGAGGCTTTCTGGTGCCCCATTTTCTCCTGTAAAACTCACTCCCACTGTCTCTGCAATACAACAAGCAATTTGTTAAGAAAAAAGTCTTTTTTAAGGTATATTCATGTTCAAAACTTAAGCACAGATAACTTTCACTTTTAAAATTATACATTAGTTCAAGTCAGTGTTTTTTTAAAAACTACTTCAAGGGACACCTGGGTGGCTCAGCGGTTGAGCGTCTGCCTTCGGCTCAAGGCGTGATCCTAGAGTCCCAGGATCA